GACGTGAGAGACACCAGTGGAGACATGAGAGACACCAGTGGAGACATGGTGTCTCTCACTGGTGAGAGACACCATGTGAGAGACACCAGTGGAGAGACACCAGTGGAGACATGGAGTGAACCTGCACCAGTGGAAACGTGAGAGACACCAGTGGAGACATGGAAACAAAGTGAAGAAAAGTGTCAGGTGTGATAAATGAGCATCAGAATGAAAGCAAAACCAGAGGCAGAGATGAAGATGTTGAGCTTCTCTTTGGGAGAGACAAGAATGGATAAAATCAGAAAGAAAGAAATGAGAGGAACAGCTGCTGTCAGAGGAGAAGGAGGAAAACCAGAGGAGATTATGGATGGAGCAAAAGAGGAGAAGTTGGGACCGTCGGGTCGGATGGAGACAGACAACTTGCTATTCTCGACCCCTAAAGGGAAAAAGCTGAAAGTAAAAGAAAGATTTAAAAATATTGTATTATTCTGTGACAATTTCATTTAATAAAAAGCTTCGTATTTCATGGTGTTATTTTACTTTTTGGTTTGATGTTCTTTCATTTCACTGAGTGTTTTTTTCCTCTGTGCTTTGAGTCTGAAATGAATAAATTAAGTTCACATAAAACTTTTTGTTTCAACTTTATGGGGAAATGTATTTATTGAAGAACTTATTGATTATTTTTGAGGTTGTATTTACTCACTTTGGAGCTGAACAGCTCAGCATGTCTTCCTGTGATTTTCTCTTTGTTTTTCATGTTGGCGTCAAACCCTGAAGGGTCACAGGGTCAAACGGATCCGGCTTTGGTTCCTCAGCGCCTCCTGCAGTCGATAAGAGATTCAGCTTTTCTCCTCTGGATTTGTCTGTTTGGGACGTTAAGTGACTCGGTCCTGTTCAGTCGGTCCTGTTCAGTCGGTCCTGTTCAGTCGGTCCGGTTCAGTCGGTCCGGTTCAGTCGGTCCGGTTCAGTCGGTCCGGTTCGAGGCCCGAGGCCTTCAGGGCTGCAGAACCAAAACGAAACTCGGATCAGGTCACAAAGCTGAACAGAGTAAAACCAAAGCAAACAGGCGTGGAGCTGAAAGATCTGCTGGTTCTGGTTCTGATTCTGCTCTGCATCAGAACCAGAACAGGTTTCAGCTTCTATGCACCACAGATCTGGAACAAACATCCAGAAAAGAGAAACCCTTTAAACCAGCTGGTTAGAGTTGCTATGGTAACATAATCAATGAAACATTGATCAATAATCTGATGTGTAATGATGCCACTTGGAAAAATTAAATGCTTCTTTTGTTGATTTTTGTGTTTTTATGATGTAAAGCAGTTTGAAGAAGTAAAGTTCGATTGAATTTCCTGCAGCCGTTTTACTTCTTCATATTCTGTGTTTTGAAGCAAACGGCTGCAAAAGCAGCCGGGCCTTTGCAGCCGAGCCTTTGCAGCCGAGCCTTTGCAGCCGAGCCTTTGCAGCCGAGCCTTTGCAGCCGGGCCTTTGCAGCCAGGCCTTTGCAGCCGAGTCTTTGCAGCCGAGCCTTTGCAGCCGGGCCTTTGCAGCCGGGCCTTTGCAGCCGAGCCTTTGCAGCCGGGCCTTTGCAGCCGGGCCTTTGCAGCCGAGTCTTTGCAGCCGGGCCTTTGCAGCCGGGCCTTTGCAGCCGAGCCTTTGCAGCCGAGCATTTGCAGCCGGGCCTTTGCAGCCGGGCCTTTGCAGCCGAGCATTTGCAGCCGAGCCTTTGCAGCCGAGCATTTGCAGCCGAGCCTTTGCAGCCGAGCCTTTGCAGCCGAGCCTTTGCAGCCGAGCATTTGCAGCCGGGCCTTTGCAGCCGAGCCTTTGCAGCCGAGCATTTGCAGCCGGGCCTTTGCAGCCGAGTCTTTGCAGCCGGGCCTTTGCAGCCGAGCCTTCTCGCTGCAGCGCAGCAGGAATGTTCTGCAGGAACAGCGAGTTTCTGACCCGCAGACGGATCAGTGGAGCTGTGAGGTTCTGTTTTGTCTGAGTTTTTGCTCCCGGCCGACTCCAGGTCGGATCCGCAGAGAGCAGAGGATCGGTTTTCGGCGTGAGAGCAGTCTGGGTAAACAGGTCTGGGTCAACAGGTCAACAGCGGAGGCCAGGAGGCGGAGGACGGCGGGGAACATCCAGGCATCCTTCACTCTGGAGACGGGAGCCATCTGATCTGTGTGAACATCACGGCTGCAGCGCCAGCAGCGCAGGAGGGGAAACAAACCAGATTTCTTTTCCACTCCGAGTCTCATTCACTGCTGCTGTTTTCCCAAATCAAAGACACAAGAAAGATGAGTTTCTTTAGGTGTGGCAGAGGCGGAGGGGTGAAGGCTTTTATCCAATGTATGAAGTCCTTGGGTTCAAACCTCGATGACCTTCGCCACATGTCTTCCTCCTCCTTCACAAGCCGCTTCCCTTCCCGACAAGCGTCAAATAAAATCCACCAGAGCAAACAAAACTTTGTTAAAACTTGTTTTTGACCATTTGTGGGCATTAAAGTGATTATTTACAGGTTTATGAATTATTTACGAATATTATTTATGAATTATTATTTATTATTTATGTCAATGAAAAGTCAACTCACTCTGATTATTAGACAGCCGTTTGTGTCTCACATTTAAAGTCACATTTTCATTATTTATGAGCTGGAATCAGGTTTACCAGAGAATCTGTTCCTGCTCAGAGGATCTGAACATTTCAGAACCGCCAGTCTCCGCATGAACCACATAAACTCTGCTGCTTTATCTGGCAGCAGAGTTTCAGGATCGAGACTTTACTTTGTTTACACACATATTTACTTTTATGCATTTGTAAGTGGCTCTGTGTTTCTTTGGCATGAAGATAATGAAAGATTAAGTTCATCATTTTCTGCAGACTTGTTAAACTAAAATGCTTCCAAAATAAAAGCAAACAGCAACTCCAAGCCAAACAGGGAGGCAGCTGCAGCTCCACCATGTTCTGGATCCGATGTTGGACCTGAAGTCATGTTAGCTCTTTAACGACTGTTCTATCAATGACGTTAGCAAAGATTCTGGTGAAACAGCCAAACCATGAGTCACCAGCTGCTCTTATAATCCAACTCTGAAGGCAGGTGGAGTGAAGTTTAATGTTCTCGTTGGTTTAAACTCTCATTTTCTGCCATGCCAGATGAATCATGATGCTTTTGCTGCAGGAGAGCGGCTGGTAAGGTTGGCCGCAATAAAACATTCAACATGGTGAGCTCTGCTCAACTCAGGTAAAGCAGGAAGCTCAAGGTAAGTAATTCATCATTTTTAAAACTATTTTCTGCCGTACAATATATTCCAATGAAGAATCTTTCTTTGCACCATCAAATTCAGAGGTTCAACAAAAGAACCAGCAGTGCAAACTAAAAACGTAGCTGCGCTAACACTGAACTACTTATCAAAAGCAGCAATAAAGCGCAACACCAGTATTGTAAATACTAGCAGCTGATGCTAAAACGCTATGTCCACATTGGATTTCGAGGACAGCTTCGGGGTCATCTGAGTATTTCTTAGATGTCAGAAGTAGATTCATGTTTGACTCTAGAAGACTTTGGGTTACAGATGGACTCATTCGTACCTCCCAGCTGCCATCATTCCTCCACCACCGTGCTTCACAGCTGGTATGAGGCGTTTGGTTTCTTCTATCATGGTTCAACATCTTTCCATTGTCCCAGAAGTGAGATCAGACCTAAACTCTGCGGCCATTTTGTTTTACAGAGAAAGAGGTGTTTTCTTTCAACCCTAACTGTCCTATCATGACCTTTAACCTTTACCCTGCTAACCGAGACATGAAGAGTCTGTGAGCTTCATGCTGTAACGTTGGGCTCAATCTGATGGGATGTCTGAAATGTTTTGCTCTCTGGAGAATGATAGCTTTAGCATTAGCAGAACTGAAGTGTAACTCTTACACATATTAAACCCGGTGGAGTGCGACATTTTATGTTGTGTTGTTGGCACATGGTCGTTTCAACAAGGTTACAATTTGTACATTAGCTTCTGCTAAATACTTGTTGAATTTTTTATGCCTTTGGAAACCATTTGTTGGTTCCTTGATGTCATAAGTTAAATTTGACCAAAAGAAGATTAAACTAACAGTTTCTGGAGCTTTATGTCTCAATGTTTTTTCCTCATTTCATAAAATACTGATGCAGTCACTGGTAAAATTAAGTGTGTAAACTGATGGTGAAAGGTTTGAGTGCAGGTCTTCCTGAGGGGATATCTGATGCCTCCACATCTAGGCGCTGAGGGAACGGCCGTGCTGTTGGGAAGCAGACGAGAGTCCGACTGTGTTTATTTTAAAAGCGGACTTCCAGGAGGAGGTGAGGTGTGACCAATCCCAGGAGAGCTCTTTAACAGGTAATGGACCTGGTGATCAAACATCTCACGCAGAGTGGAAAAGAAGCAAGGGAAGTCATTATGTCACAGGAGGGAAAGGTCTGGATTGGACAGGAGGCCCCTGAGCAGCTGCTATAAAACCTGAAGCTGCAGAATGACATGAAAACGAAGAGAAGACGACCGACAGCAGAGTTTTATCTCCAGAATCAAGGTACAAGCGGCATGAAACTGGATGAACCTGCAAAGAAAATCACTTTCTTCAATCCAAATGTTTTTACTCTAAATGCTTAAACTTAAATTTAGGAAGTTCTTGCTGCTTCTGCAGAGTGTCAGTAAGAAATTTTCTAACTATTGCAGTGTTCCTACTTTGTGACCCTTTCCACATGTAAAGTTGCTGTTTTCTGTATAACAGTACTTTTAAGACAACTTTATTTCTGCATAAAAATCCAAGCTGAAGCAGCTAAATGCAGCAGAAAAAAAACAGGTCTTGAGAGGGCAGGTTCTGGTTCTGGAGAAGGTGCACGTCCTGCATTAGGCTGCAGGAAGGAAACTCTGAGTCCAGCAGAACAAGCAGTGTGTGTGTTTTATCCGGATGTGTGATGGAGGGAATGCAGCAGTGTGTGTACCAGCGAGCATGTAAGTGACGCTCAAAAGGCGTTTATTTGCAGGAATGGAAAGTGCTAAAATTAGAAGATGTTGCTGGACAATAAGTTTGAGCTAAAAGTGTCCCGCTGTCTGTGTGAGCCAGTTGTGTTTGAAACCATGAATGGGAAGGTCAGCTCAGGTTTTAATCAGAGGATGTTTTAAAGCACAGATTCATTTTTTCTCCTGCTTTCAGGTTCTGAATAATAAAATAACAATTCAGAATTATGTGAGGCTGAAATATTTTTACTTCATCTGCAGAGAATACAAATTTTATAGTTTGTTTGGGTTAATTAAGTCTTTGGTTTGTTGTACTTTTGGGTAAAATTTTATTATTTCTTAAGTTTTTATTTTATTTAGATTTACCACAATGACCATTTTTCAGCTGTGCAGTTTTTTTTATCAGGTTCTTAAATCCGACTGAGCTCAGAGTTTAGTTGTCAGCATTCTGCTGTGGTTCATTTCTATGTTCAGATGCGGTTCTGCAGCCATCTTCTGATCATCTGCCTGCTGTCCATCATCCTGCAATGCAACGTCCTTGGAGTCCAACAGCAGCCAGCTCAGGTTAAGACACAGAAACTCACATTTCTAAAAGAGGAACCGGAACTAAACCAAGCTAACCTCAAGTTAGTGTCTGAAGCAATAGAATCAGGGTGCTAGAACAAGTTTAATCCTCCAACCTGAGGGTTGACAGTTCCATTATCAGGTCGAGCAGAATTGCACCGAGGAATCTCACCTTCCCAAGGTTAATTTAAGGGCTAAAATTTTACGTTCACTAAATAAATCCACAAACAGGGTAAAATTAAAATAATAATTTGGTGTCACATCACATAGAATAACCTGTTAATAAGTGAACCATGAAAAGACGGTGGTGTGTTGAACTTATCAAATATTTCTAGACAGCTATTATACATACTGGAAGGTATCCTTCAAAAAAGACCTGTAATGTTAGAATTAAGACATAAGATTTCACTTGTCATTATGTTTCTAGAATGTTTAAAAGAAACCAGTGATGCCCTTATTAAAAATATATAAAGCAGATAGATGGCTAGATAATATGTAGAGCTCGGACGTTGACATCCATAAATCCGATGCATAGGCAACATCCTGTGCACCTACAAAATACCCATTTAAATTAACTGATGTGCAGATAATTTTCATCTGTATTAATTTTAAGTTTATATTTTTAAATTAAAGAGATCTTAAAAATGATGTAGAAATGCCAGGAAAAGGTTAAAATAAGTATAAAAAGCAGAAATGTCCTTATAGTTCATCATGTCCTCATAACGCAGGTTTTTCAAGCAAAACCATTTCTTAACAAAGGACATTTTCTTTTGTTATAGAAATGCATTTGTCATCTGAAAATGCCTCCACAATGCATAATCTGTTACTAAGTGCCATAAAAATATAATAAAGTCCTGAAAATATAAATATTCTCACAAACCAGCTGGTCCCAATAAGGAAGGTATATTTTCATGAATTCAAAATGTGAAATAAACTCAAGCAGATTCTCAAATAGGACTGTAAAAACTGTCTAGGTATTTTTTAGTGTGGTTCATACTCTCCTTAGTATTTAGTAAGCCACATTTTCTATAAAGTGCTTTTAATTGACTGATCAGACCAAAGATCGGCTCCTCCTGAGGCCCAAAGCAAGCTGCTTCTCCTGGATGTTGATATCAGATGGTGTGAAGTGGCAGGAAGAAAAGCAGAAGTCTGTTTTCTCTTCAGTCTATTTCATATCAGATCTGCTGGAGTCTTTAGACAGGAAGTCAGAAGCTAGCTCACACCACAACAAAACCAAAGCCTCCTTCCAGGAGGAATTTGAAAGGTTTTTCCATCCTTACCAATTAATCTAATAGTCAGGTTTCTGGACTGTTGCAGGAGTACTCGGTGAGAACCCACCATGCACAGGGAGAACATGCAAACTTCATGCAGAGCAACAGTTCTACCAAGTGCACCACTGTGCAGCCCTGCTAACTAAATATATCTTGATAATTAAATGTTTATTTTGAAACTGTGACATAAATGAATGAATTACATGGTGTATATATTACTAACTTAATAACCAGTTTTTTGCTGTTAAGGACTTTGCAAACAGCACCTCTATCTAGCAGCCGGGGATTTTCTGATGTTCTCTGCCTCTTACTGTCCGTCAATCCACATTGATCAGGAACTTTTCAGATGGAATATTACTTGGTTGCAACCTATTAGTTTGACTTTGCATAAAAATATTAAATCTCAGAAACTCAAAGCATTCAGAGCGTAAACTACTTCCACATTTTATCTTTTAGGATATACTCTGTTCCATTTTATCCTCTGGAAATTTAAATTGTCATTCAACGCAAATTCCTTCAGTAAAAAATACATTTTTCTGTCATGTCGGTTTTATTTCTTCTTTGCTAGTTCAAAGGAAGCCAAACAGGAGGATTGTTGTTTCTTTTAAATTAAATGTACCCTTTTCCAGCAGATAGACCAGCCCGGCCTGAGGACGCTGGCCGTTCTGTGGCTCCATCCAGGAAGGATGAAGCCCAGCCTGGAGCTCAGCGCCAAACTCCTCCGAACAGACGACCTGATGGTGATGGAGAATGACGTGACCGAGCCCAAGAGGAAGAGGAGTTTCCCTGGGAACAACACCCCGCTGGACCGGCTGTCCATGAGCTCCATGGAAACCAGACAAGGCAAGAAGAAGCAGAGGTAGGACTCACCTTTCCCAGGTGAATTCAACAGATCCACCGACAGGTGAATGAAGTTTCGCTTTCGACTCATCTTGACGCTCGTCTCTTCTTCCCAGGAAGGTGGCCGAGTCGCCACGGCGACGAAGCAATCCGCCTCCCATTGACCGAGTCGGAAGGAGCCGAATACCGATGACTCGAGGATAGCGAGGACGCCCTCATCTGGACAGGTGAGGAACTGCACATAACTGTCTATTCAGTAATAAATGTAAACAACACTTCACATTTTAATCCATTTTCATCTCTCTTCAGTCGAGCCTCTGCATAAATATCAGCCAAACACCTGCTGACCTGCTGACTGGTCATCTCACCTGGACACGCTTTAAATGATGGTGCATTCAAGTGCAGCTCAATAAATTTAGGACCAACATCTTAAGTCTTAAGGAGAGACAACTTATTCACAAAAACACAAAATTCCTGAGGACATTACATCATTTCATGCATTTCAATGCAACTTTCCATCAAACACCAAAACTAGCATGTTGCTTAAATCTGCTTTTAAAGAAGTGAAAAGAATCATCGAATTTTTTTAGTCAATAATTATGAGAAATGCCCAAAATATTCAAATAAATGCGACAACAAAGTAAATTATGATCAAATATAAATGTTTACTACCATAACTGATTAAGATGATTTGAACCAACAGTCCAACAATCTATTAATGCTGTTAGGAAAATAACTTTAGTCAAATTACATGATTTATTTAGAAAAGGTCATTTTGGTGCATTTTTGACGGCAACATTTTATTTATGCAACATTTAAAAACAAACCAAAGAATGAATAAATCTTTCACAAAATGTTAATTAGCTACAGATTTTTAATATTTATTTTACACTAAATCACCAGGTATACATTCATTATTGCTGTTAATTATTACTGTTAGGGTTGACCTGGGATCAAACTTTTTGGCTCCACCTGAACGTACCATCTCTGGCTCTCCTTGCTGTCTCCTGATGGGAAGCAAACGCAGCCTCGACTCAGAACTTCCGACATGACTGGAGCTTTCTGCTTAAGTCTCTTTTCCATGTTGCATTTCTGCTGCAACACAGAAACACATCGACGGGAGGCTGGAGCTGGTTTCCTCTACAACAAAACTTGTTTGTTCACCAGGCGATGTTAAATCTGCCAAACAATTCTTGACAGATTTTCTTGAAGTTTTCTCTTATTAAGTCAAAATGTATGGAAATTGAGAAAAGTGTGATCTTACAAAGAAACCACATTAACCAATATTTAACTTATATTTGAGAAGATTTTCACATTGTCTTCCATTCTTGTAAAAAATAAAAATAAATTTTTACCCCATTTATTTTCCCATAATCTATGAAAAGATGATTTTCTGTATCTTGTCACCACAACTGAAATTCAGAAGTGTAAACTGTATGAACTAAAAGCATTTTGAACATTCACATATCTTTAAAGAGTAACTACACCCAAAATGAACTTGATTTGCATTTCCACTATCTAAATTCTTTGTGCTTGAGCCCATGTTTGAATTTTTTATGTAGATTTGCTTAATTCTGTAATAGTGGCCTAAATTTGTCCCAGTCCTGCCCTCCTGTGGTTGAACAGTGGTACTGCACTTAAGTTTTCCCATTGGTTACAGCAGTTTGGTTGATGTTTGGCTGAAGCTGTAATCCAGTTTTCCTCATTTTAAAAACCTTCCTGTTAAAATTGAAAAATATTTTCAGATGTTTTTCACTGTGTTCAAATGTGCATAATAAAGACAAAAAGAAGCAAAGAGTCATCCAGTTGTGTTATTTGCTTCATTAAAAGAAAGGCATCGAGTTTTCAAATAATCACCTTCTTAAAAATTAAAATAATGGCCTATTTCATCTTTTTCCAAAAGTAATTTTTGTACTATATATATATATATATAAAACATGGCAAAAATTGAGATCATTTTAGGATAATTAAAAAGTTTCAGAAACAGGATGAATCAGTTTCTTTCGAAATGCTTGCTTTATTATGTTTAATATATTCACAGACTAAATCAAGTGTTGCTAATGGCTAACAACCCAAACAAGCTTACCGTTTGTTGATATTGAAACAGTTTCAGGTTTAAAACGTATTACAGTTCCTGAAGCTTTAACAGCTAACGGATGAGAAACGGACAGCTGGTGATGTCATGATGGAGAGTTTATTGAATTTGTTCAGAGAGCAGAAAAGTTTACAGCAGATGATCACATTCGTTAAGAAGCCCTTAGAGAGGCAGAGCTGGACCTGAGGAGGGAGCGACTGAGACGGTTCAGGAGAACCACCTTAAAACAAAACAACGAAGAAGAAATCCTAAAAAACTAAAGACGGAGACTGGATCAGAGAGGCATCCGGTTTCCTTCCACGCTGATCTTCACAGCGTGACCAGTCTTCGTCAGCCGCCGTATGTCTGCAAATCTACGCATCTGTTTATCGACCCGGGACAAACCCTTCTTCACTGGCCCCTGCAGGAGAAAGACAGGAAGCAACAAGCTTAGATTTCAAAGTAAGAGCATCACCATAGCTCTGAACAGCTATGCCTCATTTATGTGCTCTTCAGTAAAACCGTAACATTTAGTTGCGCTCGGATTCACATGTCCAGTGACTGGACTCTCTGACTCTAGTGATTTATGAAACCAGGTTTCAGGGTGGATCGTTTTGGGTGCCTCACCGCAGGAAGACATGTACAGAAGTTGCTGGGTTTAGTTTATTCATGCATGGGTTAAAAACCAAACCACAGCAGCTAGCATCGCACTGCGAGCTGCTTAATGTACTCAGTTTAACACAACTTGTTAACTTAGCATTGGTTGCTGGTTTCTCAGGGAAGTTAAGGGTCAAAAGCACATGAGGGTTTCAATGACATGCTGAAAATCACAGCGCCATCTAGTGGCCTGGCATGGCAGCTAAGTGGATTCAAGGCTTTTTATCATCTGAACACACCAGCAGCTTCCAGACAGAGGCCTCCTGGAAACAAAGACCGACTGTGTGCAGGAACCCTGGACCTCTGATCGGATCAGAACCAGCAGCTTCTGTTAGTGGAATCAGATCAGCTCTAATTGAAGCACAACCAGCAGTCAGATCAACCAGCTCTGAAGTGGCTGAAACTTCACTTCATCGACCCGATTAGTTCTACGTAGCAGCTGTGCTCCACACCATGCAGATGAACTTACTGCCCCCTGCAGGCCAGCAGCTGGAGCTACAGTGGCATCCTGTTCCCCTCTATGCTGATCTTCACGGCTCCCTGGGGCCGCCGCAGCTTCCTCTGCTCGGCGAAGCGCCGCTTGTGCTTCTCCAGCAGGCTGATGGCTTTCTTATAGCCACTCTACAGAGGACCAATCAGAGCTCAGCAGCACACCTCACCTGAGTCACATCGTAACAACCCACAGGTGAGGTGCTGTCTCTGCTCTACGAGGTTCTGTCCTTCAGTAACGGGTTTTATTTCGGTTTTGATGGTATGATCTAGTTTATGTAAATATCTCCAAACTGCATATGCAAACAGTTTAAACAATTAAAGAGAAGTTCCAGGTCTAATTTTTATACTCAACTATTTTTATCCTTTCGAGATGAATTGATTGTTTTATTCAAACAAAATTTATGTTCCGCAACCAGAGAAATGAACTTTAATATATGTTAAGTCATGAATGATTTTGAATTAAAGTGCAGACAAAAAAATTAAATAATCTTAACCCACAATGAAAAATACAGAAATACATGAAAAAGAAAACAATAGGATTTTGTCTAATATAAAAATGTAATGCCAGAATCGATCAGAAACTGATAACTTACAATTAAAATGTATTTTCCAACTTTAATATGAAGTGTTCATATCTTTATTTATTTTTTTTAATTTCGAACAGTATTTGAATAAAACATGAAGTTTTTGGTGATGGCCTTTAAATAATAGCCACTGAGAGAAAGGTTATACTTTTATTCAAATTTACCTTTTAACTTCTAAAACTTTTACTGAACATTGTTTATTCAAAATGATCCAGAATAAATGCGTTTTCAATTGAGACTCACCCTGCTTGAATCCCCCTCCACGTTCCATTTGGGCCGAACCACGTAGTCCTTGTTGGAGGGCATCGGCACCCGAGCCCGGGCACAGAATCCGGGGTCACCGGGTCGCAGAGCTCTGCAGGTCAGAAACATCAGAAAGGTTCAAAACAATCTGAGTCATTGGTCACTCAATGTGTTCGTGAGATGAGAAAATTCAATTATATTCAAATTAAACGCATCTAAATGACAACAGATTTCTAAATTATAAAAAGTGACAAAAATGTAAACAAAAACTTTACAGTAAATTTAATCAAATGAAAAATGCATAACATAGATTTTGAAATAGAAAAGAAACATTTTATAAGAAAATTAAAAAAACTAACATATTAAATAAATGTAAACATAAAACTAAATTCCTTAAAAATAACATGAATAAAATTTAATAAAAACACTACAAAATTCCTAAAAGTAATAAATTTAATCACAAGAACAAAATAAAAAATATATGTACAAATAAATGTATTACATCAAGAGTAAAAGATTTTAAAACTATATGTATAAAACCCCCCTAAATTTTCACAAAGAATTTGTAACAAAACAAAATATTAAACAATGTAAATAACTCACAATTCCTAAAAAATACTTCCTAGTTATATTTCTGATGAAAACTAACTTTTCCTCCCCGGTGAGCTGCTTCTCCAGATCTCTGCGGGGCGTCTGACCTCCAGAGCTGCAGACAAACACAAACACAAGCTCTGCTGTAATATTCAGATTCAATCCGCCAGCAGGGCTTCCTCCTGCAGCTCCATGCTGTTACCAGCAGGCTTCACCTCATTGCAGGTTAGTGAAGCCATCAGAACCTGAAGCCGCTTCCAATCCGATCGGCCTGCAGCAGAAACTCTGCACCACGTTTTAGTCTCACTGAGCTTCACACTCTGAAGTTTCTAACTGCTGAGAATGTTCCTGCCAGAAGGCCAGAAGGTTAAGATTAGACTGAAAATGATTTCCATTCTGAGAGTCAGCTCCTCTGTGCAGCAGCGCCCCCTGCTGTCTACAGCTGCAGATTGTTCATCTTAATTATTACAGGCTGTAAATCCAGAGTGCCGCTGATCGTCCGTCTCTCTCAACACAAACATTCCTTATTTTATGGCTTCTGGATCGCCTCAAGTTCTGCTGCATTACTAACATTCATCTTCAGGCTGCAGCTGCACAGAGGAGCTGCAGCAGAAACACGCAGCGCAAACATGCAGCAGCTCTGGGACTGGGACTGGACCTGGTCGGTGGAGAGAAGACGTCGGGTTCCAGCGCCCTCTCCACCTTCTTAGGCTCACTGGGGGAGGAAGGAGGACGAGGAGGAGGAGGAGAGATGAATGAGAGGACCAAACACACACACACACACACACACACACACACACACACACACACACCACACACACACACACACATTCACACACACACACACACACATTCACACACACATTCACACACACACACACACACATTCACACACACACACACACACACACACATTCACACACACACACACACACACACATTCACACACACACACACACACACACACATTCACACACACACACACACACACACACACATTCACACACACACACACACACACACACACACACACACACACACACACACACACACACACACAAGAA